GTGTTTTACCCGTACATAATATGCGCGTAAAGATATTTATTGATAGTCCACTTCTCAAATGTTTCACTGAAATAAAAACACAATTAGTTTTAAATTTAGATTAAAATACAAACTAATGTCAAACACGGATAGTATAATCGGTTTTGATTGTGTTGTTAATGGCTTACATGGTTTGTTTGCTCCAGACGTCTGACTTGAATGGTTGGCAATCAATTAGTGAACAATGGATAGTGAGTGCAGACATATCGCAGAAGAATGACTCCAATTTGTGGATTACATTTCTTCTCACTTCACATTTAATTCCCAAATCAACGCTAAATAGAGTGCAACTCGTTTTGTCTAAGTCTTCGTCGATCACTCGTGCCCTATAGTAGTGACCGGTTTTGTCGTCCTTATAGGCGACTAAACTGCCGATTCCGTGCTGTAAACTCGAGTTCTCTTTACACTTTCTCTGACCGTAATATGTCCTGTAATTGATTCACAATATATACTCATTTAATCAATCAATTAACAGATAATCAAACAAATAATCAATTACTTCAATCGATTGCACATTTCGGTCAAACTGTTGACCTGTGGATAGTCGTGATCATTGAGTTCATTGGCTGAGGTGTGCTTCGAGCCGAAGGGGAGGACAGCATAGAAAGAACAGGGATTCTGAACGGACGTCACTTTCAATACGACCCGCGAACCGATCGCTAGGTTTTCGTCGTAGCTATGAGAGAGACTGCGAGTCAGAGCGCATGTGTTGTGAGTGTTGTGTGCAATAAAAATAAACACATGGACTGAATGTTTGGCGCATTTTATTACATGTTTTGCATTGCATTTGCCGTACATTTCACTCATTTCACATCATTTGTTCATTTCTTATTGCAATTGATTTGTTTTGCCTTAAATTATTTGAATTGATCCCACGTTTTGAATCTGAATATATTGTTTATACCACACGTGGAGTGTATGTCGTGAAGACATTTGTTGTTTTGATGCATTTGTCGCTAATTTGTGTTTTGTTTTGCAGAGATCTGTGTTGTGGTCGCCGGCAGTGATCAGTGATGGCCAACAATATGCACAACAATAACAACTATCCGGACATTAAGAAGTGCTGCGAAGGCGTGTTGAGGGGTTTGGAGGCCAAGGCCGCCGACATGAGACACCTGATGACTGGTCTTATGGTACGGATCAGTGAATTGGAGGATAGGGTGCAGACGCTGTCCGACAATAACCAGACACTGATGGCCGACAACCAGGCGCTGACGGATGAGGTGCAGTCACTTCAGACGGAGAACTTATGTATGGCTGAAGACCGGGAAATGATGCGCAAAGAGTTGCGTGAAGTCCGTCACGAGAACGACCTCTTGAGCGATGAACGCCGTAATTGGGAACAAACGAGTTCGCCGTTCGCCCGACACGTGGCCTCTGCCGTGTGAGTTGTTGTCCACTTCTGGTCTATACTTACTGTTGACTTCTTTCCGATGTTTTTGTTATAAACTGTGTCTTTCTTTCTTTCTCTCCACTCGCTGTACATCTCTTCCCCTCTTTTTGTGCCAAATTATCAATAATTTAGTGTCAATTCATTGCCGGAATTTAGCGAACAATTTATGCTCAAAGAGAGACCCAATTCTTTTTCTTTCTTTCTCTCCACTCGCTGTACATCTCTTCCCCTCTTTTTGTGCCAAATTATCAATAATTTAGTGTCAATTCATTGCCGGAATTTAGCGAACAATTTATGCTCAAAGAGAGACCCAATTCTATGCAAACGTTTGGCTCTTATAACCAAATGGATGGCCAAAGACTGCCCGCCGAAGAGTTGGAAACCTATCACAGCACCAGAGGTATCGTCACATCCAATCCGACCAGTAATGAGACCTTCTATGACGCGCGCTCGTCATCGCAACGCTCGTCGGCCGTCGCGAACGCTATTTATAATTGTTTGCCAATGAATGCGATTCCTTCTGTTATCACAGCACAAGAACAGCACAAACTCAACCAAACGCTGGTATCGTTGGCCACGGCTTCGTCGCAATCGTTTGGTTTCGACGTCAACGACAACTTAAAGCTGAAGTTAGTTCGAGTGCCTCTTAGCCGCGCGGTTCCCGTCTCTGTTGCTTACGTGCGGTCGCCGTCCGACTTCTGGCTCCACATTGACTTAAGTGATGTGAACTCATATCTACATGTGATTCAAGTGAAACAGGAGGCGCTCGTGGAGAGGGGAACGGCTCGTCTGACCACTGCCGACGTGGAGATAGGCATGTATTGCGCGGCCGTGTATTCAGTGGACGGGTACTGGTATAGGGCTCAGGTCATTGACATTCACTACGAGAACGATATCGAGAAGGACTCGATTCGCACGATTCGCGTCCAGTTTATCGATTGGGGTAACTGTGAAGAGGTTCCGCTCGCGAAAGTGATGCGACTGTCGGTCGAGTTAACCAAACGAAAACAAGCGGTTCAGTGCCATATTCAGGGCATTGGACTCGAGACACACCAATGGGATAAGGAATCCGTTACTAAATTCCGTCACGCGATGGAAAAGGCGGACAAATTGTCGGCCACTTTCTTAAAGGCTAGAAAATTAGACGAAAGACTCGACAGTTTGATATATCCCGTCGATGTGTTGATAATCAACGACACCGGAAAGACCGAGAATGTGGTCGATTACGTGACACTTCCTCTATATGTTGAGCCCGAAGACACTGAACCCGCGATTGAGAACAATGTGTCAGAAGAGTGCGACCGGACTCTCGTTGCTTCCAATTCGGGTCCGGATGTGGTCTCCAATCGTTTCGAAGAAATTAATACTCAACCGAAGACATCAACAGTTAAGTCAATGCAACAAATAAAGTCAAAGTCGAGCCAAAACTGTGTCACAAACGCGTCTAATAATAACAATAGTGAACGCAATCCAATGCCAACTCCTTCAGCACAAAGTCTGCCAAAATCGATGCCTCAGTTAAGCGCTAATAGCATTGACACAATGATAATACCGGCGCCAATAGTTCCCGACTCTGATGAAGGTCTGGTAGTGACGCCATCCACTGTTATAAACCCATCGGAATTCTATGTTCACATCAACGACACCACTGTTGGTATCGCTCAGTTTGAAAACCTCGAGGACGAGCTCAACAGTTGTTACGGCAGTGAATCGGCGCCCAAACATCACACCTATCCGTCACAAGTGAGGATCGGCTCCTTCTGGTGCGCCAATTACAGCGAAGACGACCGATGGTATAGAGTTCGGGTTCTGGCCCTCGACGGCGACAAAGTGCTCGTAAATTATGTCGATTACGGCAACGAAGAGTTGGTTGAGTGCAGGAATCTCAGGCCTTTGACCCGAAAGTTTGCCATTTATCCGGCGATGGCGTGCAGATGCAGTCTTTCCAATGTGTCGCCACTCAATTCGGCGGCCAAATGGCCCGAAACGACGGCCGAATACTTTCGCAAATTGCTTTACGACGAGTCGAAAGCCTTGACCGCATTTATTCGCGACAAACCAAATGTTTGTAGTTTTGAATCGAAATTACAAGTGTTTTTGTGGGCAAATGTGCCGACAGTTAATTGTGAGGACGGAGTGCCCGAAGAGGGAGAGATTCTCGTGAATTCGCATTTAGTTGTTGCGGGCTTTGCGACCACTGATAACATAGAGTGGGTCAATGAGGCCGAGAGAGCGAACCGCGAGTTGACACCACCGCAGGTGATGAACGAATGCGTTATTCCAATCATCAACCATATGAACGGCACCACCGCTTCCCTCAACCAAAACCAATTGTCAAGTATTGCCGACAATTCTGTACCCAAAGTCAACGGCAATCACATTATGGATTCGCCCGCAGATACGGACGCGACAGCAAATGCAACGCCTGTTAATTGCAAACCATCTGATATTACATTGAATCCAACTACAAATGGTGTCCATTTGCTCCAATCCATAGACAATCACCGAATGAACGGTGCAGTGAACGGACAAAACTGTGCCAAAGTGTCCAGAATTTTGCCCGAATTGATGGATAGCGATGGCGAGAGTGACGGCAGTTGGGATCCAATGAAAGATGACGCCCGCTGTGAACAGAATAGTTATAACGTTAAGGCAAACAACGCCGGAATCGCGACAATTGGCTTCAGTAAGTGTTGACTCAGTTTTTTGTACAATAAGAATGTAAATGTATTTCCATATGAAAGGCGCAACCGATCAGAAGGTCTGCAAATATTACGGGAGAGATCGCGGGTGTATTAAAGGCGATCTCTGCTCTTTCGTACACATCGAGCCCACCAAAGGTATGTTGTTTTGCACTCAAACAATACTAAACATCATTTAATCAAATGATACGATAGTAATGGAAGTGAACGCTACCGAAGACGTGGACATTGAAATTCCCGACGAAAACCTAGCGATCGGTTCGCGGGTCGTATTGAAAGTGACGTCCGTTCAGAATCCCTGTTCTTTCTATGCTGTCCTCCCCTTCGGCTCGAAGCACACCTCAGCCAATGAACTCAATGATCACGACTATCCACAGGTCAACAGTTTGACCGAAATGTGCAATCGATTGAAGTAATTGATAATTTGTTTGATTATCTGTTAATTGATTGATTAAATGAGTATATATTGTGAATCAATTACAGGACATATTACGGTCAGAGAAAGTGTAAAGATAACTCGAGTTTACAGCACGGAATCGGCAGTTTAGTCGCTTATAAGGACGACAAAACCGGTCACTACTATAGGGCACGAGTGATCGACGAAGACTTAGACAAAAAGAGTTGCACTCTATTTAGCGTTGATTTGGGAATTAAATGTGAAGTGAGAAGAAATGTAATCCACAAATTGGAGTCATTCTTCTGTGATATGAGTGCACTTACTATCCATTGTTCACTCATTGATTGCCAACCATTCAAGTCAGACGTCTGGAGCAAACAAACCATGTAAGCCATTAACAACACAATCAAAACCGATTATACTATCCGTGTTTGACATTAGTTTGTATTTTAATCTAAATTTAAAACTAATTGTGTTTTTATTTCAGTGAAACATTTGAGAAGTGGACTATCAATAAATATCTTTACGCGCATATTATGTACGGGTAAAACACCACTCTTTTTGTGCACCTATTTATCCCACTTTTCCCTCCCATTCATATTATATCTTTGGCTATAATTAATGGTTTGTTTGTTTGAATTGTCTGTTTAGTCGAATCGATGACAAGTATTACGTTGAGCTCATCGACAGAGAGAGTGAAGTATTTGTAAGCAATCGACTCATTGACCAAAAGTTGGCCCAAAGGATGAAACCATTTGCACTCTCAACACATCCGTCCGACGAAGAGATATATAGATCTGATTTTGAAGAATAATAATAAAGACAATTATATAATTGACAGATAGTTTTATAATTAGTATTTTGACTTTTTTTGATCATAAAAACGCACTCATATATCGCCTCAATTTTTTATAGCCATTCACTTGTTTGAGATATGATATGATTTATTGAGAAACAAATTTGAATTATTTTATATGTAATTAATAATTAAAAGATGATAATTGTTTGGCAGATATACTGTATATTTATTGATTATTGAATTTATAATTTGTATGATAATATTATGAATTGATTTATTCTCATTCATACGACAAATCATTTCATTGTCTCAATCAATGATCTCATTATACGTTAATGTTTTGGCGATTATTTATGTATTTTTTAGTTGTGATTATTTTAATCGCATTAATCTGTTATGAAAATAATTTTAATAATACAATAAATATATCAATTAATTAAATACTTTATTATTAAATGTGTTGTTTTGTTTAAATTATTTTGTAAACGAGAGAGAGAGAGAGAGAGAGAGAGAGAGAGAGATCACAATTAAATAAGAAGTTATAATTTAATCCTAAACTAAACTATCTATAATTCAAACAATGATTGATTCAATTAATTTATAACATTTTACTCGCAATTAATTTAAGTATTATTTATTCAAAAATAAGTACATTTTAACATTATTAGTATTTAAAATTTAGTAATCATTTTTTAGAATAAATTTAATTAGTTTTGAAGTTTATAAATAAATTTGGATAAAATTCAGAGTTTAGGCATAAAGTGATAAACTTTGGATACCATTTGAATTTATAACACAAATAATAATTAATATTTTTACACATTATTTAAAACTGCAATTTATAATTAATTGAATAAATCTATTTCATAATAAAAATAAAAAACAAAGAATTCAATGATTAGTCCATAAATAATTAGCAATAATAACGAAACGGTGTAAGTCTTATGTAATTATATGTTTTGTTCACTACAACTCATCTTTTCGTGTATTTTAATTAAGAGTTTATATAATAAATGACTAAAACTTTCTTATCTATTGTTTAGATAAAATTAAAACAAAAGCAAATTAACGATACATTTGAAAAATTTGTTGAAAATATATTGTAATTCAAAAAGAATGAGAGAGAGAGAGAATTGTGACATTTATTAATAATATTTAATCTAATTCTTTTAGTTTGTATTGACTTTTATGTCACTTATTTTTAATTAAATAACAAATTATTTTTCAAACAATTTATCCCAAAATTATTAATCAATTAATATTCATAAAACAAATTTATTTAAAACGTTTACTAAAATTTAGTATATAAATGTATGTAAATATGTCAAACATTTCAACACTAATTAAAGATATTAAATTTGTTATATTTAAATAATTTCTTAATTAAATGTTAAGCAATTGTGCCATGATGTTCAAATAAAAAATTCTTTCATTTTGGACACAGAAAAAAGTCAATCTATTGTTATTTTAAGACAATTATTAAATGTCATAATTTGCACAAAATTGTCATTACATTAATTCATGTAACAAAATAGTCTTCAATAATGTTATATATTCTTACTTTTATTTTACCATAATTGTGTGTTATAATCAGACAAAGATTTTAATACATAGACAAATATATCTTTAAATTGATCACTAATTCAATGTTCAGATGATTTATCATTAATACACAATCATTTAAATGACAATTAGTTATGATTTATTTGTTTGATTCAAATATCATTAATCCGAAAAGTTTTGGTAATATAAATCATATTATGATTTGTATATATCTTATAAAACTAATGTTTTATGTTTCAAAACATTATTTATATATTTGGTATTTAAAATTTATATTATTTAATCAAAACGAATATTTTAATTAAATTATAATTTAATTCTATAAAAAATAAGAAAGAAAAAAAGAAAAAAAGAAAGAAAGAAAGAAAGAAAGAAAGAAAGA